ATTTTATTCTAATAACATCAAATCACAACATATATTTTCTTAAGGCACTTAATATAATAAAGGCAAGACCTTACACAATTATGGAGAAATTCATAAATATTAGGAATCAGGGTCTTTGCATACTATACCAAGTTTTCTAGCTAAACTCATTAATTAGCTGTTACAACTCTTAGCTTGTGTGGGGAAGGGAAATATAAAACCAGATGCTATTGGTTAAATTAAATTATTTATTTAGCAAAAGTCGTGAGCAAGATTACAGATATAAAAGAAGTGAGGCAAACCAAATAACCAAAATAGGACTCTTAACCTAGAGTTAACTAATTAACAACAAATATGGAAAACAGAAATACAAACAAAAATCCTCACAAACTTTTTCAAGAAAACAAAAATACAAAGGGACAGCATCTGTAAACCTAGTGCGACTAACACACGTCAACAAACTACAAAATAATGTAAAAGATCTACTTTTAGATCTAATGTCCTGGCCCGGTCTCCAGCGGTGTAAGGACGTGGATGACTCTAACGAATGCCCTATATACAACAATTACAAAACTAGCTAATGAGATTTAGCAGTCTGGCCAGCTTAGTACAGCTGCCATACCATGGTGGTCTAGGTTTATTTACTCTTCAGGTTCTCAGGGATTGCTGAAGCGGATACTGGGCTGATAAACCAAGAAACAGGCACCAGGAACAGGAAACGAGCAGCTGGCCAGGATGAGGGTACAACTGCAGCCAACCATGTAGCAGGAAGGGCAAGTCTTGATTTACATAAACATATGGCACAGTATTTGGCTGGACAGAAGAGGAGGCCATAACATATGCTAATTCAACTGCTAATGAACTAATGTTTGGTTAGTCTTCAAGCAAGAAACCCAATTGTGCTCACAATGCTAATAGGAGGCTGTGCTTGTTGTGTCATAGTTTGCATTGACCGGTCAAATATAATGGAGAAGCCCCAAGTTTTGGCCTAAAAAGGGGCCAAATTCAAAAGTGGGGACATTGTAAACTTTAAACAGTTACAGGACAGCTTTGGGTCAGTGATCAAAGCATGAAAAAAGCTGGAGGTGAAACTGGTGTAGGTCCTCCTCCATCATTTTAAGCAGCTTGACGCCTCTGACCTCCCCCATGGCCTTGCCACCACAGTGGACAATGAGGACATTTGCTGCTGCTCTTCCTCACAGAGAGGGGATGGTGGCGTTTACGCTGTAGTCAACCCAGCCAAACTAACAGATGAGGCAGGCTGAGGTTACTTCCCAAGGTCTCTGCAGCTCTCTGGGCACCAGGCCACACATAGCCATCACCAGTGATACACAATGTAACTACGAGAGGAAAATAAATGAGCGTGATAAATTCCCAAAGTAATGAAAAGTCTAAAGTTCACTGACAGACTCTAAATACTATTCAGCCCATAGAAGAGGGATAATGTGATATCAGCTAATTAAGTTAAGCAGCTAAGACTGGGACTTCAAGTCTATGCAGTGTGCAGCAGGTGGAAGCATCACAGGTGGCCATGACCTCAACAAGAACTTATGTACTGAAAGAAATAAACACCTTGTAACACATATAAAAGTGACTTTCTTTCTCAACAGCCATATTCAAGGTGACAATCTCCCACTGCTGTTGATAGCAGTTCACATAAATCCAGGCCCCCGCAGACTTATATAAGTATCAAAACCATAAATTTGCAGTGTTTGCAACAGCAGTGTGGGACTGCTATGAGGACTGAGCTGGAGGTATTTGAATTTCTTGAATGGTAAAATTGTTTCTTAATAGTTTGAAAAAATCAAAATATTTATGCTAATAATACTAAGCTGCTGTCGCACGTATCTTAGCTTATTAACATTGATTCAATGACTGACTGTCAACAATGTTATGTGAAAATCTACATTCAGATTAATTGAATTGCTTTAAACTCTATATAAAGAAATGAAGCTGAAATATCCAGGATACATTCGCTACTATCATTTACATTTGGAGCCAGAGTCGTGCAAAAGCAATAAGGGGATGGGATTGGATGCGGTAAAAATGAGCACTTGAACATACATCAGTGGGATAAGAACTATCTCTTGTCTGTAACACCATGAATGGTTGAGGATTTAGATTTGGGCAGGTGACAGTTTGTGGACGACTGAAGAAAACATAAATTTTCCCTAGAAGGAAAGAAATAATATCTCCAGTCTGCTGTGACAATTCCAAGACCAAGTTCCACGGTCCTCAGTCACTTAGATTGTATGTGTTGATCAAAACATCAGTGTGATATGAAATACCTAAAATTACTTACTTTTGTTTGATGTACCATTTACATTTACAGTGATGAATGGGACATATTGGTTTTTTACTCATGGATAGCACTCATGTTGTCCTTATTTAGCATTCAATCTACAGCGGTTTCTGGGGTGCATGCAGGCTAACGTTGATCACACATGCAACAGGTTCAGAGTGACAGTTACACAGACTAAAAAGTGACAGACAAGTTCTCACATGAGAGAGAAAGCTGCATTGAAAACACTTTCGGGGAACGCGCAGCGGAAACTAAGAGGTCTGCATGGAAGATAACAGCTCTATCGACACTAGCACTAGCATTATACCTCAGAGCAGAGAGATAATCAGTTGAGACGGATCCACCCAAGTCTGGGTGTGGAGGTTCCTTCTTGTTAAAAACGAGTTTTGTCTTTCCACTGTCGCCTGGCGTTTGCTCGTTTTGTAAATTGCTGGGTTTCTCTCATAATATTATAAGGTCTCAACCTTGCAGTGTAAAGATAATGAATATCATGATTTGGCATGATGCAAATAAATTCAAACTGAACTGAACCTCAACACAAGATATGATCAACACAGAATATGTATTATCAAAAGTTTGCATTTCTCCTAAAGGCTACCTGCCTTTATCTTTTACAATCTTTGTGGAACTCTGACTTAATGACTCACTGCATCATGGTGTGTGGATGTGGTTAACAGTGTACAGATGTCATCATGGAAGTTGCTGGGGTGCTCTTGTCTATCACACCATCAGCAGTCAGATGAGTCTGCAGGTGTTAATCTTTGAACAACTGAGGGGAACATTTCTGTTGCTAATGGGAACAACAGGGTAAAAAAAGTCCCAGAAGGGCAGAAAAATGTCCCCAGTCATATGTGTGCTGTGACAATTCCAAGACCACAGTTTAATCTTGAGTTTATTTTACAACTGCTGAAAGGATACCCGATAAAGCTTGGAGCTGGCTGCACAAGAGTAGCTCTGTCTCATTAATTGTGAAGGGCTTGAGATGATAGGCTCCTGTGCATTGACACCACAAAAACTCTGTCCTTGCCTTCCCCCAGAAACACACAATTCATGAAGTTGTCACAATAATTTCTATTTTGTGACTTCTTTAAACTGCAAATGTTTTGCTAAAGACAAAACAATACAAATCTCTAGTTGCACATGCACACCATTTTTGGTTTAGACTGTGGACAGTGCTTGTGAACACTGAACAATGACATCAGCTCCACAGATAGATGTATGATGATTGATGTGGTTTGTCCTCTGCTGTGGTGTGTGAAGACAGTAATTACTTATTGGAAACCTAGTGTTTGATCTCTCAGAGCAGGGCCTGTATATGTTGTACTGCTTGTAAATGTAGTGTGGGTGGAAATGAGACTGCTGGCTGGACGAAAACTTTGGGCTACTTGGGAGAGATCTTGTTTTGATAAGACATGAATCGTACATTTCCGTTGAGCTTTTCACATTCAAATCTTGTATGCGTCACATCTTACCTGTCTGGTGTTTCAGAGTGCATACAGTGTATTTTTGCCACAAAAGAGCTTTAAATCCTACACTCTATACTAATGATCATTTCATTACAAGTGTATTTTTAAGGACAACCGCTTCAAATGATGAATCCTGAAGATGATTCAAACCATAGGTATTTTACAAAAGTTATAATATACTTGGGTGGCTGATCTGTGGCCACTCCCAATTTAAGATGGCTTCTCATTATCACAAAATGTTTGCCTGATGATGCTCCAGTACTGAAATGGTGAATAAGCTGTGCAATTTTCGATCAACTAGTCTCAACTTACCCTACGCACCTGCTCCGCCAAACGGATGTTCAAATCTTTCTTTAGTTTTTCAGGCCTGATAAATCACATTCACAAGAACATGAGGTCACTGTGACCTTGACCTTTGACCTTCAGGCACCAAAAAGTAATAAGTCCAGATGAACGTTTGTATTTTATAGACATTCCCTCAAGCAGATCTTACGATATCTTGTTCAAGAAAAACATAAACATACCTTGACATTTGACCCCAAAATCTAATCAGTTCATCCTTGAGTCCAGGTCCATGCCACTGGCTGTCTCCGGCGTGGAGGCATTAATGGTTGGAAGATGAGGAGAATGATCTACTGAACAAAGGTTTAGTAATAGTATTACATTCTATTGCGTGTGCCTCCCATGATGCATTTGTATCTGTTTAAAGGCGTTTAAAGTATTTTGTGTATGTTCAAATACAAACTAAAATAATCGGTCACACAGATTTTTTTGCTCAATTTGCATTGGAGCATCGTTTTTTTCACATCAACAAAATACATCAACAAAAAGCTCATTGACAACTTACACTTAAAATTAAGTAATTAATAGACACAAGTATTCAGCTTTTGAGACCAAAACAACCAAAACTGTTCAAAATTAATACAATTTTTGTTCCTTGTAGACATATCTGTATTCTAGAGTCCAATTTCCATTTGAGGTTTTTTTTTATCTTAATCTTTTTTCTGATATTATCTGTATCTATTCTGCATTTACCACATACTTCCTCCAAAGTCATAACCACATTAATATTTGTACTTTTATCTCTTAAAACCAAAGATAAAAAAGATGAAAGGTTGTTTTAGTCAAATGTGCAGCAACATATAAAAACTGTGACAATGAAAATTAGGAGAATATAGTACATAGAGTATGAAAAACTGATACAATAAAATAGTTGTCTTCATGTATATATATGGATAATATTTTTTGGACCACAATTAAATATTTTGATGCCCTGGTAATCAATAAATTATATTTTATATCCTTGTGGTTGCAAAAACTAGTAACTTATGCTGCCATTACATCTTTTCTCATGATGCAAGAGATAAACAGCTTTCAGGAATATTTCCGTCACTGATCACTGAGCATCAATTAGCAGTAAAACTTCAGGCACGTAGTAAAATGCCTCCAACATAGAAAGCCCAATGTATTTCCTGTTTCTCTATATTTCAGATGGCGCTTCAGTGTTTTCAGCCAGTTTCCTTCAGTGCTTTCAGTGTAATGGTCAGTCCTCCAGCATCACAGAGCTGAAACTCATCCACTCCATCATTATGTGGCTGCTGATGAGCACCAGTGTGGGCTGGGTTTGCTTCATCCCCAAGATCTTCCCTCTCCTCATCTTCCTCAAAGTCATCTGGATAGTCACCTTGTTCTGAAATTTCAGGAACCTCCTGAAAGACTGAGAGAGAAAGAACCTGCTGAGTGATTTGCCACTGTCATACCAGAACAAAGATACCAAGAGCGAAGGCTTTTGTAGTTGATCATAAATCTACTATTTATAAGCTCGTATTATAAAACTACTAAATGTTGATGAATTTTAACTATTATAAAGGTTAATATAATAGTTCACATACAAAATAATAGATACTTATGCTCTGGTGCATTAAAAAAAAACCAATTGTGTTGTATATAAAAATTCCAAATGTCCAAACATTCTCCGGGGGCACTGAACGCAGGTGCCAGAGTGAGAGCCTTAGTCTAGACTTTCCCTGGACTTTCTCTGGACTTTGTCCGAATGAGCCCATGAGAGAACACAGCAGGACATCCTCTGGAGGATTCACCAGAAGTGAATGGGCGTGTTGATGATATTTTAACACATACATTTCTGCCTGCTGCTCCAGCCCTCACCTGGAGATTTCTGTGTTGTACTGAACGTGTCTGAGTGGAACATCTCCTGCTGCGTGGTTCATATGTTAAATGCAAACTCTGCCCGGACCCAATTCTGCAGACATTCTGAGAAGTTCAAGTCTCAAAACTGCCTCAATCGATCAGACAGACCAAAAAAGTTACCATGTGTGGCTACAGAGGGCGCTGTTGCTCGGTAAAAGTTAAATAGTGTTGCTTTAATGGTGTATTCTTACACTGTGGTACTGGTACTTTAACTGAAACCAATAGTCCCACTTTAACCACTTTTGTGGTTTGTTTCCGTGTATGTGTCCAGCACTACGTTACCAGTGGGCTCAGCAGAATCGCTCCTCATCAGAGACCCTGAGTCTCCACTGCAGTCTTCTACAGAGGACAAACTGTCATCTTCATCAAAGTCCTCAGGATAGTGGCAGTCACAGTGGTTCTGTCCTTCGACACACAATTCATCACAATCCTCCTCCTCATCACTGATAGTGTCTTCTTTCTCTTCCCATAAGAATGATTGACTGAGGACCTGTGACCCGAGTGAGGAGTGTTTTCCTTCTGTATTAATGTCACAGCTCTTCCCTTTAGTCTGAGTCACAGGAGCAGAGTCCGTCTCTGTGTCTTTCATGTTCTCTTGGTGGTCCTGCACATAGGCGATGCTAAGCACACAGGCTGCACTCGGCCTGTTTTCTGGGTCGAGGCTGAGCATTCTTTTTATCAAAGAGGAGATGTTGTCTGAGAACACGTCAGGCACGGGTTCATACTCCCCTCTGGTGATCTTGTATAACAGACTCATGAGGTTTGAGGCTGCAAACGGAGACCTGAGAGCACAGAGCTCGTACAGCAGACAGCCGAGAGCCCAGATATCGGACTTGGAGCTGTACGGGACATCCTGACAGAGCTCAGGACTGAGGTAGTTGGGCGTCCCGACACATGTGGAGGCCAGATCGGCTGTGTTGTTCAGTACTCTGGATATCCCAAAGTCCCCTAACTTTACCACACCTTGCTTTGTGAGCAGTACATTTGAGGTTTTGATGTCCCTGTGTAGTATTTTAGCCATGTGTATAAAATTTACAGCCGTAGTCACCTGCACAAACCACCCAATCACAGTGTCCTCTGTGAAAAACTCCCCTGGTTTCCTTTCTTTTACTTTGTCGTCTAATGTCCCACCATCACAGTAAGTCATTACAATGTAAAAGAATCCACCGTCAGAGCTCACAAAGGCATCGCTGCATGTCACTATGTGAGGGTGCTCCAGCTTCCTGATGATCTCAGCCTCTTGGAGAACAGCCCTCTGGGTTTTTGCCGCCCTTGTCTCCTCCACTTTCACCCTCTTCACTGCATGCAGGCTCTTCCGCTCCACATGCCTCATCAGGAACACGTCTGCTGCTCCTCCACGGCCCAAACACAGGACCTGCTCATACTGCTCCATGTTTTGTCCGGAGCCAACAAATAATAATCCATTTTAAACAAGTAAAACCATAGTAGAGGTTATAAAGGGCTCTAAATGACACAGCAAAGCAGCTACCAACTGACGCTAGACAACCGTTTGTGTTGATTACTGTTGCCTTGGTAACCAGCTCGGCATGACACTGAAATTGGATAGGAGAACAGTCAGAGAGTAGAAACTGTTCTACTTTTGTGTTTTCAAAAAAGATATTTATCAGAAGCTCACAACTGGTTACAATTGGTTCCTTATACTAAGACTATATTTTGAAATGAAAAAAACACTTTTCTTATGTCTTTCATAGTGGTCCATGGGTTAAGGTTATTTTGTGTAATTTGTGTTTAATAAGCATTTGCTTCTTGTTTAGTACTTTACACAACCTTTTATTTGTACAAGCATTACTGTTTTATTTCCTGATTTATTATTTATCTCTATCTGTTATTTATTTCCTTGAACATGATTATGGCTTGGCTGTTGTTTTGGCTACACAGGACAAAATAATGTCTTATTTAGTTCTTGACATCATCATACATTGTCTATTATAAACATTTCAAAATTGTAAGAACTGTTAACATGTAAATTACAAGACATTGTAAAGGTACTAGACAGCCACTAGATGGCGATGTGGACATTATCTTACTGTTATCTACCAGTAATTGGCTGAAGAAGGAGAGTGGTTTGCGCTCTCTGCGCAGGTACCTGCGCATGTCACAACACAGACTGAGTGAATGTTAATTTTCTCGGTTTCATATTTCTGTGAATTTCACCGTATTTTAGAGTAAAATGCCTCCAAAGGGTAAAGGTGGTAAAACTGCCAAAGGTGAGTGAATTTTCACTGTGTTCGTGTTTCGTACGTTTAAATCCAGCAACTTTCACGCTCGTAGCGTAAACCTGTCACGCGTGTTTCATGTAATGATGGAGCACTGCTGGCTGCAACGTGACTGTGTTGAAGCTGTGGCTGAACTTTATGTTTTGCAGGAGCAGCTTCAGGAAGCGCAGACGCGGATAAGAAAGACAAAGCGGCCAAAGGAGGCACCGCAGTGAAGGTAACGTTGGTTTTACTGGGGTTTCATGTGACGGAAGGGAGTTTCCTCTCCTCTCACTGACTGGAAGCGGACTATGTGAATGTGTGGTCTTGTTGAATCGGACTGCACTTGTTGACACCTCGCCCAAATATAATCTGCAGATTTCCCGTTCAGCTTCCGACGAGCGGTGAGGACGTGATCCATGACATGGTTACCGAGAGAAACCCCATGTAGGCAGGGCCACGTCACAGTGTTTTATTGTGGTCACGGCAGCATTTGTCATGAGGAAGTTATAATTGCCATAATGGAAAAACTAGACACAATTTGACAAATATTAAACAGTAAAATCCTCTGAAACTTGACATGCAGCCGGTGGGGGGGTCAGCATGAGCAAGAATGAGGTGAAATATCTGTCACCTGTTAAGGATTTAAAAAAAAAAATCCATTTAAAATAGTTACGAGTGCCATAATTAAGAAGAAGCTAATTTTGCCTTTAAATTTCCTGATATTCTGCAGTAAAATCTTCTGAATGTTGAAATACAGACAGTGGGGGTCACCATGATCAAGAGTGAGGTGAAGTATCTATGTCACCTCCCAAGGATTAAAAAACATGTCATGCCTCACACTGATGCGATGTTCTTGAGTGTTTAATTGCTAAGTTGAATACCTGCATTGATATTGAAAAGCTATAGTTTGTGTCCTGCCTGTGGTTTATTCCTGCAAGTCTCACTGTGCTCTTACTGTGTGTGTTCCTAGGTTCGACACATCCTTTGTGAAAAACATGGAAAATGTATGGAGGCGATGGAGAAGCTGAAGGCTGGCGTCCGTTTCAGTGAAGTGGCATCACAGTACAGTGAAGACAAAGCAAGACAAGGAGTAAGAACATGCTCTCATAATCAGTTGTACAGTTTTATTCAGGTTCAAACCAGTTGCATCCATTCCTGGCCTTTTACAATTAGATGTTCTTCTCTAATTTTATATACGATGGAATATCATATACCATTGAATGAGTGCTGTTTATGATATACAGAGCGAAACGTCAGTATGAGTCCTAAAGGGTAATAAAATTCAAAACAGATGAATAATACATGTCTACTCACTGTTATTGCAACATGTGTTATGTTTATCTCTGCACCACACCTACACTCATATAGTCACTGAAGTTTCCCAGACACACCACTGTCTTTGGATGTGTTAAATCAAATAGTTACTTCTACTATGCAACTTTCCTTTCGTATATACTCTGTAGCTGTATTAAAGCTCTCGAAGTCTCCGATGGAAAAGCTGGTCAACTTTTCAGAGCTAGTTAACCTGAGCCTGCTTGGGTTAAACATTTTTACTGTGTTCATTTTGACGTTAGATTTGAGATTAGGTAGCTGTGTAACTAAAGGGTAGAGAATGGTTAATCAACCATACAAATTACTCCATTCAAATTCATTTTGACAACCCTGCCTGGTTAGTATTGTATGATCTTGGCTAACTCTTTTCAAGAGGATTTGCTAAGCAGTAACTTATAAACTACATCTTTGCATCTGAACAACCTGAGCCCTTAAGTCAGACTTTTTTCATGTATTCTCAGGCACTGGAAAATGGGTTAGGGTTAGAGGGTTTCAGTCCCTTTATTTCTTGCTTGATACTCATATCAGGTGCATACAGTAACTGACTGTTATTACGATGACAGGGTGATCTGGGATGGATGACGCGAGGATCGATGGTTGGACCTTTCCAGGATGCAGCATTTGCCCTGCCTATCAGCTCCATGGATAAACCTGTCTACACAGACCCTCCTGTCAAGACTAAGTTTGGCTACCACATCATTATGGTTGAGGGAAAAAAGTGAGGCTCAACGTTCAAAATTGGGACTCAGATTCTGTATTTTTAAATTATGGTTTTCACCTCTTTATATTTTTGCTAAATGTTAATTAACAATATTTTTCTTTGTGAAATGTACTTAAGCATACTGACAACTTAGCCAGAATTCACAGTTGTCTGGGTTTTTCTTTTCAGTTTTGATAATGTTTGCGGAACTCAAACCACAAATCGCCAAATAAATGTTTCCCTCGTGTAGTACAGAATGTGTAAGGTTTGTGTGGGTGTGTGTGGGTGAGAGAGAGTGGCAGAGAGACTTGGCAGAGGAAGTTTCATCCTCACTCTGAACAACTTCTGGTTTAAAGTCTTTTAGAGACACTGTACAACCAATATTTCAAATGATTGCAGAGCCAACCCCGTTGAGAAGATCATGTAGATAATGAAAAGTAAAAAACCATGTTTCTGTTTGAATTTTTAAATAGGAGATAACAAAGAAAGCTGAGAAATGTTGTTCAAAATACTGTGTAGGATTGCAGCCAATAATTCTTTTTTATTATCCTTCAATCTGCTGACTATATTCTCAATCTCTCGATCAGTTGGTCTGAGTACAAGATGTTAAGAAAGGCGATGCCATTAATTTGATTGTTTAGATATTCAGATCACTGTTGCATAAAGACAAAGGAAACACGCACGCCTCACTATTCACAAGCCGCAGTGTCTTTTAGCGAAACGATTAAACAAAAACAGCAGCCTGTTGATCAAATGGTTGATAAAACAGGTTATTGTTTCTGTACTATTACCGACTGTTAAATGGGGTAGCATTGAGTAGTTTGTTCTCATTTTATGTATTTCAACTAAATGAATCATTCAAAGACATAATATACAATATATTTGGACTCATTATGTTTTCAAAGACAATGATTAAAATATTAGACAGAATTTACAAGTTTCCCTAACTACATGAATCTCCCCTTTAAAGGTTCAGTGTGTAGAATGTGATGGTGAAGTTGCATGTTGCAGCTGAATACCCTCCCCTTCCAAGCATGAAGGAGAACCTGTGGTAGCCTTTGGTTTTCAGAAAAACTCAAAAGGTGTTTAGTTTGTCCGGTCTACCAGACCAGACCCTCTCCTGAATATCTCCTGTAGATATAAAGTAATTAAATGTAAAGGGCCCATTCTAGGGTAAAGTAAACAACAATTCGTAAAATTTAGATGAAACACCACTAGGATCAGTTTAATTTAATATCTGCCAATAGATCCTTTCACCTACATCTTACACACTGAACCTAAAGTCCCTGGTTACAAGTCCTGATCACGTCACACTAACATTGACCGACGGTGTGACATCCAGACCGCCAGGAGGCGCCAGCCCGCACAGGCCGCGACAGCAGGGCCCGCACCGGGAAAAGGCAGCTGACGTTGTTACGACTTGCTGGATGATTGGTGAGGTAAGATGGCGGCGCCAGAGGAGCCAGAATTATCCCAGGCTCAGACTGAAAAACTCCTCCAGTTTCAGGTAGACAGCCCCAACACAACACTAACACGCGCCCGTTTGAACCGTCTCATGCTAACACGCTCCCGTTGACTCGACAACCACGCGAGCAGCAGAGTCTGTGCGCGTTAAAGCGCTTTTTGCTCAGTCAACTTCGGTAGCGTTACCCCCGAACCTTAGCCGTCTCCTGGAGCCACAGCTAACGTTAGCGGAGCTAGCTAGCATTAGCAAAGGTAGCTAACAAGTTAGCACAGTTTAAGGGCCATGGATGGATCCGCACAGCGCACCGTCGTTTGTTCTGCTCACAGATATACAGCCTGTCCAACTTTGTTCTCCAGCGTCACTCGTGGTGCGTGTGGTTTGGGTTTTATGACTTGACGTCAACTTGGCTAACGTTAGCACTCCACTGACGCTTCCTGAAACAGTTGCTGAGTTCACACCAGCAGTCGTGATGGAGCTGTCACTGAAGTTCCCCAGCCACACCACTGTTGCTGGACCTGTTCAATCGAATAGTCAGCTCTCTGTCGATGTGAACGAGGCAACTTTCTTCTCGTTTCACTCTGTGTTAAAGCTCTCGGAGTCTCCGATGGAAAAGCTGGTCGACTTCTCAGAGCTAGCTAACCTGAGCCTGCCTGGGTTAAACATCTCCTGTGTTCATTTTGACGTTAGATCTGACATTAGGTAGCTGTGTAACTAAAGGGTAGTGAATCAACCAAGTAAATTATTCTATTCA